TTTTTTTTTTTTTTGAGACAGAGTCTTGCTCTATTGTCTGGGGTAGTGTGCTGCGGTGTCAGCCTAGCTCACAGCAACCTAAAACTCCTGGGTTCAAGCGACGCTCCTGCCGCAGCCTCCCAAGTAGCTGGGACTATAGGCGCACACCACTACACCCAGCTAATTTTTTTTCTATTTTTAGTAGAGACTGGGTCTCACTCTTGCTCAAGGTCTCGAACTCCTGAGCTCAAGAGATTTTCCCACCTTGGCCTCCCAGAGTGCTAGGATTACAGGCATAAGCCACCATGCCTGGCCTACCCTTAAGAGTTTCTTTGTGTTTTTACTCTTTGCTCACTTTAAGATACGGTACTCTATAGAGATAAAAGGTTTCCTTCTGTTCTTGATCTTAAAATTAAAAAGAAAAGTATTGTATAAAAGTAAGCAACCAATGTGATTTTTTTCCTACTATCTTTCACTGTCTAATACTCCATCCTCTCGCACAAATCCCATACAGAATCTGGCTTTATCACTTTACCTAAAAATCCATCTTTCTTATAATGAAAGCTATGACCAAAAAGGTCCACTTTGAAATATTATAATGAATGTGACTATGTTAAGTGATCTGATCAGTCAGCAAGATGGTAATAATAAAAACCATTTATTTGCTTGAATAACAGATAATGGAAATAATAAATAAGATATAAATAATAATCTCTTTTTGATGGAAAAAATTAAGCTTTTGAAAATAATAATTATTGATTATTTTGGTCTTTAATTTTCCTTGATGAAAAATGTAAGCTCCATGAAAATAGGAACTTTGTTCACAGCACGATCTGTCTGGAATAGTGCCTGGCTCTAAAGAAATATTTGTGAAATGAGCAACCATACATTCAGACCTACCATTAGCTCAATATCACTGCCAATTATATAAAGTTGATCTTCCATAGAAAGCTTCCTGTTCAAATGGGCGAGAACATATGTGATTCCAGGTAAACGCACAGCAGGACTGGTGAGAAGACTACCCCACAGGGCACCGTAGAATGCTGACTGGTCCACTGCAGCAGCAACCTTTTCCAATAATGTGTTTGTTCTGAGGTATAAAGTAAAGTGGTTTAAGAAGGAAAACATTTAGTTTCACATGTTAAAAAATAAATCATTAATCTTTTCCAAAAATGTATGAAAGCATCCATGCTGTGGTCATATGCACCACCCTAGAAACAAGTGTGACAAGCTAGAAGAAAAATATACTTTAGAGTGAGAGGACTGGATTTAATGGCTCCACCATTTACTAGCTGTGTATGTTGGAGAAGTCACTTCCTCTTTCTTCAGTTCAGTCTCCTTATCTGTAAAATTAAGAGAACAACAACAAAAACATCGCCACAAGACCTATCTACCTCACTGGGTTATTAAACTACTCTAAGCAATAAAACACTATATAAATTTTATTTAATAGTAGTCCTATGGTAGAACATTCTGTTGGTTTTCTACAAAATCTTAAAGGACATTTCCAAATGTTTCTTTCTTTTTGAAATTACATAATACATAGTTCACAACTTTAATGAATTAGATCTATGACAAAATCAAGGATACATTACCACTTTAATAAGAAATATATTTATATTTAAAGATTACTTTTGATTTGTTTTTAACATAAGATAAACAATGCAATACATAAAAATCTACTACATTGTAGTACAGTGGAGTTAGAATGAAGACAAGTTGATGAGTTCTGTTTATTTGCTATGTGATTTAACACTAAGACTAATTTCTTCTGGCCTCAATTTATCTATGCATTAAAAGAATAACACATTTACAAATCGTTTTGTAGAACTCAGGTAGAATAACTAGCAAAACAACATAAATCATGAGGATACCAGTCATAAATATCATTATTCAATTTCTATGTTAAATTTTTAATAACTAGTAGAGTTATTGGTGGTATTGATTCCACACTTCCCTTAAGAGAATATAACAATTTAAAACAAAACTGATTTATAAACTAAATGAAATAATTTGACATATTTATGAAATTGTATGCAAATAAGTAAAATTAATAAAAGTAAATGATAAACTTTGAAGGCACAATTAATTTTTCTAAAAGTAGCTTATAAGGGTAGTCCAATATATACATACAGGATTATATTCTTACTGCTTTATAGGAACAGTTGAAAAACAGAGTAACTAGTCAATGCACTTGAATAAATAAATTTAAATCATTAAGTCTACTCATAAAGTAATTTTGGTATTTTCTATTTTTGCCATCTCAACTTACAATTGTTTTTTTTTGGTAAGACTATTAGTAATGAGATATTAAAGATACTTAATGCCATCATGCATTATCTACAACTATTAACTTCCAAAGAAATAATAACAGGCTCCAAAACAGATCAAATCATTTTCTTTGAAAAGTTAAAATATCACGAGTACCATGCCCACAGCTAGTGAAACAGCCCTGTATTTGGTACTAGGCTATTTTCCCCCTTTAGCAATTTAAAAATTGTTGGCACATGGACCAATTTTCCATTGTTTTCATTAATCTAAGTGTTCTTTCTGTTGTATTCTTTTAAATTATGGGTCACAATATTTTGAGTGACATATATGTGCCAGGAACTGGACTAAGTGCTTTCATTATTATAATAGTACAATGAAATAGGTATTATGCTTGTTTTATAGATGAGCAAACTGAATAAAGTTCACAAACATTAAAAAGGCTTTCTTAAGCTCATAGTGTCTGCAGAGGCAGGATTGGAACCCAGTCCATCCATTTCTGAAGTCTGTGTTCTTACCACTTGCTATATTTTCAGTATGATACATGGAATAGATACACTATCATAATTTTTTATTGCTATAAAAATCTTCAGCTGATATATTAATGTTTCTGGAATAATTCATTTTTGTGATGCTAAGACATATTTATGCTAAGGATGCTTGTTGACAAATCCATGACTTCGATTACGCAGCTGCACCAAATACTATCTTACCTTTCATAGTACTCTGATCCTTCTTCTAAGCCAGGAAGAATGCCAGTTAGCAATCCTTGTAGACCAGGCTTCAGTGTTTTACCCAAAGGCAGGTAATATATCTCATACAAACTGAGTAATGTTGGTTTCACAGACATGGCAGCATTTGCAAGAAGAGGAAATAATCCAGAACTATTTAAAAAAATAGAAACAAAAGGGGAAGAGAAGCAAAAT